GTGAGATATACCTGTAATTACAACACTCAGACAGAGGAAGGACCTACCACGGGTTCCAGGTCAGACAGGACTATAACACAAGGCTCCATTTCAAAAGAAAAGAGGGGCCTGAAGACACAGCTGAGTGTATAAGAGCAGGCATTGCCCTTGCAGAGGGCCCAAGTTCAGTTTCTGGTTCCTAACACCCCTGTGTCACAACCACCGGCGATCTGATGCCTCCCTCGGCTCCACAGGAGTCTCCAAAGCACCAGCACTCACATGCACAAACCACACAGATTTGAACATTTTAAAGACCAAGTCTCGCTGTGAAGTCCTAGGCCTGGAACTCTTCGTAAGCCAAACTGTCCTCAGACTCAGAGATCCTCCTGCCTCTGCATTCTGAGTTCTGAGATTAAAAGTGTGTGCACCAGGCCCAGCTAGAATTAAATCTTAAAAAGAGAGAGTGGGAGGGTGGGGAGAAGAGAAGGGAGCAGAGGAAAAGGGAGATAGATCATCTGGGTAGAGGTCCAACTTGATGTGGGTATGCACCTATAATTCCAGCTGTGGGATGGGGGTGAAGGCCAGGCTAGGCAAGTCTTGTCTCAAAATAAAAACAAAATTTAAAGTGGGGAGTCCAAAAATATAGGAACACAGCTTATGAGTTTATGCTTAAAACTGGTAGGACCGAGTATCGAGACAGCCGAGTCACCATCCATGAAGAGGAGCACAACGCTCTGCCTAACTCACCTCCCCATCAGCATAAGCAAGACTGCACAGCCCAGTGCTTATACTTTAAATCATAGACCACAAGAGAAAAGCATGGGATTTTTGAAAATATATTAGAGTGGAAAAATGATGTACAAGCATTGACACCAAACCCAAGTCAGACATTAAAAAGAAACCTATTAACTCAAACTAGAGGAGAAGGTTGTAAGTCTTACACAGCCACTAGAACAATCATTCAACAGAAAATAGTATTAAGATATTCCACAGAAAATGTAGTATTTGAAAATAGGAAAATATGGCATTAAATGCAAATTACATATAGCAGAAAATGCAAATAAAGCTGTCATAACATGTTTCACTTAACAGACTGGCAAAATCAACGCTTTAACAAGCAAAAAATTGTCAGCAAAGGTGTAGCAAAGGGTGATTTACAAAATCCGAGAATCAAATGTTATTAGCATTTTATAAATATACATGTACTCAAAAGTAGCAAATCCAACTCAGGGATGGAACTTTAATATATATCCGCATATAGAAGCTACTATGTACATAGACAGTCATCTCATTCTACATTTCAAAGGAGAAAAAAAGACGCTAGATACCTCAGTAAGGGATTGAGTCAACTGTGGTGAAGGCCAAAAAGTAACACTATGTAGACAAGGACTATGGATGAGGAAGTTAGTCTTTATTTTCTAACATATTCCACTTTCTACACTTAGAAGCACTAAAGGACTTAATTCTTCAATAACGTATAAGATTTAGTTTCAGTGTTGAGGGGAAGAGGTCTCACTATGTAGCCAAGGCTGTCCATGGTCTTATACTCCTGAATGCTGGACTGCAGGCCTTAGTAACCATGCTTCTCAATACCCAACAACCCTGCTTCCCACCCTCACCCCCAAACAGGGGGAGTCTCACTATGTAGACCAGGCTAACCTGGAACCCAGAGATCGTCTGGCGTCTGCTTCCTGAAGGCTAGGATTAAAGACATGCCACATCACACCTGGCTTCCATAATTCCTTGACAGCTGAAGATTACCCCAGAATACACCTATTGTTTAACAAGTTCTATCAATGTTTGCTTCCTGCTGAATGGTGGGTTCTAATCCACTACTTCCTCTTTTACTTTTAAATATTCTCTAGCATCTTAAGACAATGGCTTCTTCACTGACTTCACTTTTCTGCAGACATTAAGAGTACACACTACAACCGCATTCCAGTAATTACCCCTCTACTCCATTAAGTTCTAATTAGTGGTTATTTTGAAGTTACTTAAAAATATATTTCCAAATATATGGTGAGACAGTCCCAGGCCTATGCAAGAAGGCACTGTGTATAATTTGAACTGATTAATACTTATTCAGACTTGAAGTTCCAGACACAGGAAACATTTCTTATATAAAAGAATATTTAGTAAATTTGGAGTCCATGTATGTCTGTTAGGCCTTTCGGTGGCATTTGTTCAAATGTTCTGTCCTGATTTTGCTCAAGACAGGCATTGTAAAATCCAAGCTGTCTTTTCTCTTTGTAGTTTAATTAACCTTTGCTTTTTCTTTATGGAGGCTATGCTATTAGTTACACACAAATAAAAACACTCAGATCCTTTTAATGAAATAATGTCATTTTCTCCCTATTTTTTTGGCAAATCATTTTTGTTGTTTCTTCTTGAACTCTTCCTGGTATGGTTTCTCTCCCCATCCTTTAATTTCAATCCTTTGTAACGTTATCTTTTTTATTTGTTTGTTTACTTTTGAGATGGAATTGTTCTCTGTACCCCAAGCTAGTCTGAAACAACAGCAATCTTATCTTCACCTCCCCAGGTATATCCCACACCAACCTAGTCTTTCATTTAAACAAGAAAAACAAAAGACAAACAAACAAAACTTCTTTTCAACTATCAAATTCTTTTTGGTTTAATCCCAGCACTTGGGAGGCAGAGGCAGGTAGATCTCTGTGAGGGCAACCTGGTCTACAGAGTGAGTTCTAGGACATCCAGGGCTACACAGAGAAACCCTGTCTCAAAAAAAAAAAAAAAAGAAAAGAAAAGGAAATTCCAAACAGTTTTTAGAATGACTAATACAATTTATATCTACCATTCTACCACACAACTTCCCATTGGCTACTTCTATGTTCACTGTCTTTGCTTGCTGTCTTATTTTGATTATTGGTTGCTTTTTTTAGCTACCTCCTCTTAATGATTCTAGCATATGACAGGCCCAGTTTGGGCTTGAACATCCACTTTCCCGGTGCTGGGATTACACGAGTACTCCAACGTATGCAGCTAACACTGATAATTGTCTTCCCATTAAAAAGATTGCTTAACCTTATAAAAAGGATGGACTCACAAAGGTATTGTGTTGACAGTCTGTTTCAGATCTCCTTGCTATACAGTATGCCAGCACCTGGAATCTCTAGCAGGACTGAGATTGAGGCTAGCGTGCGTCACATGAGGCCCTGTCTCAAACACTTACTTCCTTTCTTGAACACTACCACATGCTTCTTTTAAGGTAATACAACACATTTTTTCTATTTCATAAGAGTATACTGGCTTCATTCTATAGGTTTGTGAATCAATCAGAAAAGTTTATATATATTCACACAAAATTTACTCTAAACATTTCAAATGTAACTGCTATAACACATGATTTCATAGCAGAGAGATTTTCTAGCTAAACCGGTGGCAGATCTGTAATCCCTGCTGTTTGAGAGGCTAATGTAAGGGGCCCATGAGTTCAAGGCCTGCTGCCTACGCAATTCAGCAAGACCATGTCTCAGGAAAATAAAGAGAGCTGGGATGGCTCAGTGGCAGAATACATGCTTAGCCAACTCACAGATCTGAGTTCAAGCCAGTGTGCTGGCACACTTCTAACTCCAGCATTCAATGGACTAAAGCAGGAGGATTGCCACAAGTTTGAGACCCTGTCTTGAAATAAAATCCACCAAAACCAACTGAATATATTTCTGCCTGAAAATGTTCTACTTCCTTCCATTAACACTGACTTTCAATGTCTTTCAAATTTCTTGTCTCCATTGGACCTGGAAAATCTAGTCTATGTATCAGATGGTTTAGGAAAAGCTTTTATTATTGATTTTTTAAAAAAACCTTTAAACTCATTGATCAATCATTATATATAGTATGCATTTCTGCTGTCAACTCTAGGATTTATTTTTTCAATTGAATAATTTGTAGTATTTATGCAAATGAGCCTCATGAGGCTTTAGCATGTAGAGCTGATTATCTTTCACATTGAAGCAAGCTGTATTTGCAGACTGCATTTTTCATGTAATCCAAGACTCACATTACAAATGTGTTCCAATTCATGTCCTGTGCGAACCCGACTGTCCTGACTAAGAAAACACACACTGTTTCTGCTGTGGGGACACTTGGATGTCACCTCTACCCTAAATGCACACTGAGTTCACGGAGTCTCACCAGGGTCAACTGTCCAGTTCAACTGAAGTTGAGGTGAAAATCTACTCATACTCATGTTCCAATCGTTTTCACTCCAGAATTCATTATGAGAGCTTTGATATTGGGACAAGCTGACAGGGGATGTCATTAAGAAAATGCACATGAACATTCCAAAAATAACAACAAAGACTACCATAAGTAGATCATTCCTAATATTTCCTAATCATTCCTCCTTTAGTGACTATGTCAAAGGACCCATTTACTAAATTCATTCAGCCCTCACAATAACCTTATACTGGCTAAAAGGCAGCAATCTGAAGCAGAGCTGGTTAACTGATAAAGTACAGACAGCAAATGATGCACAGGATAGCTTCTACACTGAGAATGTCCACTCAATTGTTCTCTATGTGGCATTTTCTATAGCTATAATTAAATGGACCCCTTTTACTGATAACAATTAGTATTTCTATTCATAATTTAATTTTTATTTTTCCTATGTAAATTCTCAATAAACTGTAGGTTATAAAACAAAAAATAAAAAAGTACAGTCATCAGATGATCTTCTCTTACAAGCTCTTATTCCATAACAAATAGCTGAAAAAAAAAAATGAGGGCTTCCTGTTCTAATCACCATAGTATACATCACAATGTTAAGTACGATGTGAGGGTTCCACACACCTCACTTCCAGGCTTTCCTCAGCAGGGTCTGGGCACACATAAGGTGTTTCCCATATTTCTGATCTTATCAACATTTTTTTCTTCATATATATGTGAAGATGTCGAATAAGGGCTATTCAATAAATAAAGGACGGTATTCAAATACACAGGATTTCTCCCATTGTGTGTATCCTCTGGTGCTTCTTCACCTGTAAGAGCCTAGTAAAGGCCTGTCCACATTCCTTACATTCGTAGGGCTTCTCACCAGTGTGAATTCTTTGATGTTGAGTAAGATGGGATCTCTGCCGAAAGGCCTTGCTACACTGCTGGCATTGAAAAGGCTTCTCTCCAGTGTGGATCCTCTGGTGTAGAATAAGAGTTTTACAGTCAATAAAAGCCTTTCCACACTCTTTACATTCATAAGGCCTCTCCCCAGTGTGGATTCTCTGATGTCTATTAAAGTATGAAGGACACGCGAAGGATTTCCCACATTCCTTACACTCGTAAGGTTTTTCGCCAGTATGAACTCTCTGGTGCTGAATGAGATGTGCTTTCTGTCTAAAGGCCTTCATACACTCCTGGCACTCATAGGGCTTCTCATTAGTGTGAGTTCTATAGTGTTTCATGAATGCTGAATGGCAGAGAAAGGCCTTTTCACAATAGTTACACTCGTAAGGTTTTTCGCCAGTGTGAATCTTCTGGTGGTCGTTCAAGTTGGAAGCCCAAGTAAAAGTCTTCCCACATAAGTTGCACTCGTACGGTTTCTCACCACTGTGAATTCTTTGATGTCTGGTGAGATTTGCACTCTTGTTAAAGGCCTTCTGACATTTGTGACATTCATAAGGCTTCTCATTGGTGTGTGTTCTCTGATGCTGAAAAAAAGTAGAGAAGTAGAGGAAGGCCTTCCCACAATGCTTGCACTCATAGGGCTTCTCGTCGGTGTGAACTCTCTGGTGCTGGACGAGCAGGGAGCAGTTAGTGAAGGCTTTGCCACACTCTTTGCATTCACAGGGCTTCTCACCGGTGTGAAAGCGATTGTGCTGAACAAGATAGGCATGCTTTTCAAAGATCTTGCCACAGATCTCACACTGATAGGGCTTCTTATTGATCTGATATGGAGCCAGTTGGAAGTCATACGCAAATCCTCTGCTACATTCCTTCAATTCATCACATTTCTCGCCAGCAAAATCCTGTCGATGTTTCATCTGATCTGTGTAATAGATAAAGGTGTTCTCATACATTTCATTAAGTTTGTCACTGGTAGGAATTCTTACCGGCTGAGTAATGGTTTCACCTGCTTCCTGTTCATAGTGTTTCGTTTCAGAGTGAGTCATTTCGCTTAGAGCAACAGGTGTAGGTTGAATGAATTCTGTTGACATCTCTTCCAATGGATCTGTCACTCCCTGTAAATATTGCTCTGTAGATTGCGGTTGTGTCTCAAGGAGTCCCTTGCATTTCCAATCATTTTCAAAACAAGATTCCTCAAGGCAAGAATTATTGACTCTTTCTATTATTTTCCATTTTAACAATTCCTTTCCAAAGATGCCACTCTCTAGAGATAAATTCTTAGTTTCACTTCCAGACAGCAAATCTGAAAAGAAGTAAGTACATAGTTAGTACCAGAAGCCATAAAACACCTTCATTACAAATGGGTGGCTGATGGCACATGCCTTTAATTCTGAAAGACTTAAACCAGCAAAGAAGTGAAATGGAGCCCAAATAATTGGAATGCAGGGCAGTCTGACCCAGAAAGCTGACCATGGCCACTGTGACTTTGTTCCTGGAATTTGCTAACCACTTGCAACCTCTGCCTTACAAGGCCCTAAGATAGCCGATACCGAGGTCACCCTCCCCCAGGGAGCTCAAGGGGGAACTGCCCCTCCCATCAATGTGTCAGCAGGGTCCTAGAGAAATAAAGAGATAGCTGCAACTCCTGTTTGCTTAGGCAAGATTGATTAGCACACCCTAAATAGTGAGACCATCTAAAACCATAAAGAGCATGCTAGAGCCCATGACTCTGGTCACAGCCCCTCCTTAAGCTTGTGGGTTTTGCCTTTAAAAACGCCTGCGTCCAGAGAATGACGCTTCTCTCTAGCCTGCGTGCTGAGGGGGCCCGTTTGCACGTTTTCTGTTCATTAAAGCCTCTTGTGTGTTGCATCAACTGGACTGGACATTGAGTTCTTGGGGGAACTGACCGAAATGGGGAGTCTCCTCATTCTGAGGTCTTATAATTCCACCACTGGGGAGGCAGAAACAGGAGGATCTCTGTGAGTTCAAGGCCAGCTTGGTCTACAAAGAGCATTCCAAGACAGCTATTATACAAAGAAACCCTGTCTTGAAAAAAAAACAATGACTTTTTTAAAAAGAAAAATTTATTTTTATTTTATACATGTTTGTGTGCGTGTGTGTATACATATATATGTATGTGTACATACATACATATATATATATAATTGTTTTGCCTACATGTGTATCTGTGCATCACATGAGATCACTTCAGGTTCCCTGGAACTGGAAGTTACAAAGAGTTGTGAACTGCCATATGAGTGTTGGGAATTGAACCTGGATCCTCTGGAAGAGAAACCAGTACCCTTCGCCACTCAGCCATCTCCCCAGCCCCAAAATGATGATCGTAAAGTACTTGATGCAATGCAAGAGAGCTGGCCTTTAGATCCTCAGAGCTCATGGGACCACTGAGAAGGCATGGAGGCTCGCCTTTAAGTCCAGTCCCAAAAGGCAGAGGCAGGGAAGGTGTCTCCCAGACCTTGTCTCAAAAAGCAGAGAGTGATCAACACAGATTGCCAAGATTTACCTCCAACCTGCACATGACTCATACACACGAGTGAGCACGATCACTCACATATATTCCACACATACACGAAAAAGAAAAAAATGAAGAAGTAAACGGGGCAGATCAGACAGCTCGGTGATGAAAGGTGCTTTCTGTGCAAGCCTGTCAATCTAAGTTCTGTTCCACAGATGAAGAGCAGAACAAACTACAAAAGTTGTCCTCTGACCTTCACAGATGCACCCAAAAGTGCACACATACACTGTTAAGTCTCAAACCCTGGCACAAATGGCAGAGGGGCCTATTTAACATACCAAAGCAGACCTGGCAACTCCTAGGGAGAGGGAAGAAAGTTCCAGAAAGGAGCTAAGAGGAGCAGCGAGGGAGCAGAGGGGGGAAGTATCTGGTAACAAGAATTTCAACTGGAGCGTCTTGTCAGACAAAATGTTCCAAGTCACAGAGAGGTGTCCCTTTCCACTTGACGGGGGCCCAGTAGGGTAAGAGGAAGCTTCCAGCGTGGCTTCTGCAGTGAAAGCAGACACTCGCCCAGCAGAAGGGGAGAGACAAGTGGTTAGAGCAGTGGAAAACTGCAAGTGTCTTAGTAAGGAAGACTGCCCACGTGGCGGGGCCCCGAAAGACAGACAGAAGAGGGAGATGACCACGTGGCGGGCAGCCCAAAGGTTGTAGCAAGGAGATGCCCACACGGTGAACACCCCAAAAGAGAGCAGCAGGGAGAGAGGGGACGCCTACTGAGTAGGTGAGGGGAGATGGTTAGACGAGGTGGAGGGAAGCAGTAGCAGAAAAAGAAGACTCTAGAATCAAATTCGGTGGGTGGCAAAGGTCAGCAGAAACAAATGATCAGTACATACCTTGGGAGAGTCAGCTTGGTGCGAGAGGCTGAGCTCCCTAGGAGGGAGCTCATTTAGGCCACTCTGGGGTTTCAGCACCAGATGAATGAAAAAAAGGAGGGGATGAGGATGTGGATGGGGATGCAGATAGGGATGTGGATGGGGATGCAGATGGGGATGGGGATGGGATGGGATGGGACAGGGACAGGGATAGGAAAGGAAAGGACATGGCTGCTCCTAGGTATGATGGAAGGTTTATTATAGATACGAAGGAGAGGGTAGTCAGAGGCAGGGACATCAGGGAGTATCCAGAGTGGACAGGACCCATGTGGGGGAGGGCAGAGGGGAACCAGGTGCAGCAGCCAAGAGGACAAAGGTACAAAGGGGGCAGGTGGCCAAAATGGCCGGGTTATATAGGGAAGAGCCTCTGGGGCAAGGGCAGCTCAGCTCCTGGGCTGGAGAGTCGTGGTAGAGGGCAGGGTGTGCCAGCCACACCCTGTAACAGGCAGGGACTGAGGGATGCTGGGAAAATCTGGTAGCCAGGTCAGCTTTGATTGTTAAACAGGCACCGCAACCTTTTGTCCCAGGGTTTGAGACAACACCCTAAGAATTTAAAAAATTAAATGGCATAGGTAACCTTGGAATAGTTACATTATTAGCAGATAAAATAGACTTCATGATAAGCCACATTGTCACAGATAATTGTATCAGCTGGGCGTTGGTGGTGCATGCTTTTAATCCCAGCAAAGGCAGGCAGACCCCTGTGAATTTGAGGCCAGTCTACAGAGCTAGTTCCAGGGTAGGTTCCAAAGCTACACAGAGAAACCCTGCTTCAAAAAAAAAAAAAAGGATAATTTTATCACAATTAAAAAAGGTCATATTCATCTGTTTGGCAATGGCAATCACGATCATATAGTTTTATAGTAACAAAGTCTCAAAATTCATAAGGGAAAACGGAAATAAGAAAGAAATGACAGTCCTACAATCACAGATGCAGACGTTACAACCGTCTCCCAGTAACTCCATCAATCAAGATGAAATTATAAATAGTACTGAGCACCATTATCACCAGCGCTTAATTGTATACAGCACAACATCAACCAGAGCTGACTGGGCCAAGGAGATGGTACAGCAGCTCAAGGGGTTTGCTGTGAAGCCTCAACACCTGAGCGTGATCCTGGAGAACCACACGGAGAGAACCCAGTCCCGCTAATTGTGTGTGTGTGCACAAAGACACACACACACACACACACACACACACACACACACACACACACACAATCTAAATAAAAGCAGACAGAAAAAAGAAAGAAAAGAAAAAGAAAAAGCTGCTGATCCTCTCCCTTTCTCAAACCATTTCTTCCAATACACTGGTCTCCCAGCAGAGCCTTCTGTACACTAGGCCAGGGAAAGATTACCGCTTCCCCCAAGCACTCCAGTTGTTCCCAGTATCCTTACGCACCTGGGTACCATCCTGCCCGCTCCACCATCCAGGGTTCTTTGCCTTGCTCCAATAGAGAAATGACTGACGGCTTAGAAATGGCAAGTCCTATTCAAAGAAAGAGAATGTTCAAAACAGATACAGAAGCAAGCAGCGACAGCCACAAGCATCCACTACAGGATTAATTTAACCTACAACAACTCTCAGAACTTCAGGATGATTGTGACTTAAAATAAGTAAGTTGTTATTTAGCAGGCACTTTACTAAATAATTGTTGCCTGCAGAAATCAGTGATGAAAATTAAAATTAGCAGGGAAGTGTTATGAGCAAGTGTGTGCATAGCATAGCCACTGGCCGTGAGCAAGTGTGTGTGTGCATAGCATAGCATAGCCACTGGCCGTGAGCAAGTGTGTGTGTGCATAGCATAGCCACTGGCCGTGAGCAAGTGTGTGTGTGCATAGCATAGCCACTGGCCGTGAGCAAGTGTGTGTGTGCATAGCATAGCAAAGGGCTTCAAAGGGCTATTGACCGGCTGTGAAGTGGTGGCTTTGGGAACGCAGAAAAGGCTCAAGTGTGTCCCCTGCATGCGACAGACTTCACTCTCCCACAGATCTCCATCCCCAACCCTTAGGGAAAGCATTTTCCGAATGAGAAGAAACAGATGGCCTTACCCAGCGACACAAAGTTGCTGTAGGTCTCCAACATGACATCCCGATACAAAGACCTCTGATCAGGGCCCAGGCTCTCCCACTCCTCCTTACAGAACTCCACAGCCACATCCCTGAACACCACCAGCCCCTGAAAGAAAGCACACGGGCAATGGTGAAGAGAATCATTCAGGCCAATGGTGAGACGCCCTTTCCAAGGTTCTCCAGGGCAAGGCAAGGCATGTCTCCTCCCAGCACTGGGGCAACTGAACATTTCAAAGGACTGGCCTTTGGCTCCTGAGAAATCACTTCTGGGCCTCTGAATGTCCTGCCTGATGAGTTGTTTCTTTCTGTATGCCTGAGTGGGGCCCTGGGCTGTGCCACCTTGACCTCTAGGAGGCCAGTGAGTCGGTAACAAAGATCAATTGTAACCATAGCAGGCACTCCCAGCAAAAACCCCCGGATGAAAAGGCATTTGCCAAGGGTCACTTGTTGGCCATACTTGCTACATGCTGCCTCATGTCATGGCTGGGAGATCTAAGCATGTCTCCAGACCTCTACCAGGATGACACAATGTAGAATCTAGACTTTGCCCTTGGCAAATTTCTTTCCTATTTTGCATTCTTTTGGAGTAAATTCACAAGAATGAGGATTACGGCTTCTCTCAGTCCTGCAAATTCAACCAAGGAATTGTTCTAGTATAGCTAGCTCACTTCCCTAATCCCAGCGCTGACTGGGAAAGACAGCTGAAAATTCAGGGCTAGCCTGGGGTTATAGTTAGGGTTAACCTTACTATGATGAAACATCAAAACAACAAAAAACGACTTCGGGAGCAAAGTGTGTATTCTCCTTATGCTTCCAAGTAACTATCCATTACTGAAGGAAGTCAAGACAGGAATCTAAACAGGACAGGAACCCAGAGGCAGGAGCTGATGCAGAGGCCGTGGAGGGAGCTGTTTGCTGGCTTGCTCTTCACAGCCTGCTCAGCCTACTCTCTTACAGAACCCAGGACCACCAGCCCAGAGACAGCATCACCACAACAGGCAAGGCCCACCCTCATCAATCACTAATTTTAAAAATGCCGATAGGCTTGCCTACAGCCTGATCTTGTGGAGCTATTTTCTCAATTGAGGCTCCCTCCTCTCAGAGGACTCTAGCTTGTGTCAAACTGATGTAAACACTAATCGGGACATCTAGGCTACACAAGTTCCAGACCAGCCTGGGCTGGGAAAAAAAAAAAAAAAAAAAAAAAAAAAATAAGAAACCCAAACCCACAGATGAGGAATTGCAGTTGAGGTTAAAAGAAGGATGCATGAAGCAAATCCAGTAGCAAACCAGGGGCCGCAGAGAGGCTCAGAGCGAGAGAATGTAATTGTTCAGGGTTACCAGCTGCCCAGAAGGATAGACATTCGTTGCTGAGGCCACCTGTTTTGGGAACTTGATACACTCAAACCTGAAAACCACTCTGTGGGTGCTTTGGTTATGATTAAAATAGTAATAGGGACACATAAAATAGCAATGGGCGCGCTCTTAGGGACAAGAAACACAGAAGACACTTGGAAAATAAAAAAGCAATGCACCACGAAAGAACCAAAAGCAGGACGAATGGCTGACCCCCTTCTCCCTTTTGTATCTGTCCCCCCCCCCCCACCTTGGGTCACTAGCAAAGCTCTAAGCAGGCAAGCGGATCACTCAGAACAAAGCCAGTAATATTGTCTACGTCCTTCGTTCCAGAGTGAAGCAGGCAAGTGGGTGTAGGCATCCTACTGTCAGATTTTTTTGTATCTCGTTCTCCAGAACTCCTAAATGGCACCTAAAGGTCTCAGGCCCTGGATCTAATCCTGCATTCACCTTGGGCTTCAGGAATAACACAGTCTCAAGGCCACCCCCTGCCCCCAAATGTGACCAACTGTCCCTAAGGGTAGGGCCTATCAGGAGCAAAAGTAACCAGCTGCTGAGAATAAATCTGTCCCCACAAGCTTGCAGAAACAGAAGGGACAAGGACTGATCAGACCACACCTTGATCACCACTGCTAAATTATGCAGACCTCTCCCCACCCCCCACCCTTCCTAGACTCAACCCAAAAAAATCAGTGTCTCAGAGACAGCCTAAGGGTATCTGGACCCCTTTATCTCTGCACTGCCCACAAAATTACCTTCTCTCAGCTTTTCAGGGCTACTCATCCTTTATCTATTTTAACTTTTAAAATTCTGTACCTCTGTGTGCTGAGGTCAAAGACTGCTTACAGAGATGATGTAGAAAGGGGAAGCAAGCTGGTTGTTAGTGGTGGTGCACGCCTTTAATCCCAGTGCTCGGGAGGCAGAGGCAGGTGGATCCCAAGAGTTCCAGGGCAACACAGAGAAACTGTCTAGAAAAACTAAAAAATGAATAAATTTTAAAAGAAGCATTTTTGTTTTCTAGGTAGAAAGTTATGAAGCAGAACAGAAAAGACAATTGGTTTCTGATGGGAACAGTGAATAAAAAATAAGGAATAAACTGTATGTCTGTTCTGGGAGGATGGGAGCAGAAAGATCATGAGTTCAAGTTCATCCTTGGCTCTAAACCAAGTTCAAAGCCAGCCTCAGCTACATGAAAACATGACTAAAATAATAATAACAGCCATGTTTTAATCCTAGCCTTTGGGGAGACAGAAGCAGGCAGACCTCTGTGGATTCAAGGCCAGAGTGATCTACATAGCAAGTTGCAGACTACATAATAAGACTGTCTTATTAAATAATTAAACAATAAAAATATAAAGACTGCAAATGTAAAAGCAAAGGTATTTTTCTTTATTTGTAAATGCCTAACAACATTTTTCTTTTTCTTTCTTTCTTTCTTTCTTTCTTTTTTTTTTTTTTTTTTTGAGACAGGATCCAATATAATGAACTTGACATTTATTAGGTGGCCTAGGATGGGCTTGAACTTGCATCAAGTCCTAAATAATTTTATATCTCCCTTTTTCCTGGTTCATAGGCAACTGAGTATATGCTACAATCACAATCTCACTTGGTATATTCTACGAGTCAGCACTTGTTAACAAACTTACACCTATCATTCATTCAGTCAGGACAAATCTAAAAGTAAGTGTTATTATTTCCCCCTACTTTCAGATAAGGAAATTGAGGACTAGAAAAATGAAGTAAACTCATGAACACAGAGGAACTGAGACTCCTTACATAGCCCAGGTGCTTTAATGAAAAGAGAAAAAAAAGACAAAAGCAAAACAAACAAAAATCATAGTCTCTTGTAGTTCGCACATACTGAAGAAAACAGAATCAATCGTACTGGCAAACGTCAAACCTCACATGGTTACCATGACAACTCGGCCACAATTCCATTTCAGGAATCGGCAACCAGAAGACAGATGACAGGAAAAACGTCACCTCACCTTGAACACGGTGTTGACATCCACAATAGCCATACTTCTCTGCTCTTCTGGGCACGTTGGAAAAAGTGCGGAACTGGAAAAGGAAGGCGGAGTTAGAGAAACTGGGTCAAACATCCCACGACCCAAACCACAATGGAGCCTGCAATGCTCCTGAGCGACACTCATGGGGACGATGACAGATCTCACTCCTTCCATTTGTAAGCCTGTTACCCACCCAGGAAGTCCTTCCTACCTCACTAATAGAGTTAGGAATGCACCATCCTCACATCCCCTATCATGAGGGTAGACTCCACCAGCTATAGGATCAATATCCCAAGAAGTTACCGGGGACAAACTTGCCACTGCTCTGTAGCATGCATAGAAAAGCGTTCTTATGAGCATAAAGAGATTTTCTTTTTTCTTTTTTTAATGATGGGTCTCACTAAGTAGACCTGGCTGGTCTCCAACTCAGAGATCTGCTTGCCTCTGCCTTACAAGTACTAGAATGAAACATATGTGCTACCACACCCGGCTCTTTTCTTTCTAATCCCCCCCCCCACTCTTTCTTTTAATTTTTTGAGACAGAGTCTCACTATACAGCCCTAGATGGCCTGAAACTCAATAGATATGCAGACCAGGCTGGCCTTGAGTTCACAGAGATCCACCTGCCTCTCCCTCCTGAGTACTGGACTCAAAGGTGTGCGCCACTATGTACAACCTTTAATTTTTTAAAGACACTATGACCACAATGTCCAAGGCCCTTTCAAGTACCCAATAAAATGCCTGCTCTGTTTTCTCTGCAGGGAACTTGAGTTTCCCGAAAGCAAGGGCTGTTTGTCCCCTTTTCTTCAGCCCTTCCCCCATCCCCAAAAGGCATCTGTCTTAAGAGTTTATGCACAGAATTGTTTTTTAAAAGGCTAATTTACTTTATGTTTATCACTGTTTTGCTTGTACATACGTCTGTATACCATGTGTATGCCTGGCGCCTTGAGAAGTCAGAAGAGGGAACTGAATCCCCTTGAACTGGATTATGAATGGCTATGAACTGCCATGTGGGTGCTGGGAATTGAACCCAGGTCTTCTGGAGGAGCAGCCAGTGCTCTTAACCACTGAGTCATCTCTCCAGCCCAAAAGATTTATTTGCTTATTTATTTATGTATTTGTTTGTTTGTTTTAGGTACATGAATGCTCTCTGTCTTCATGCACACCAGAAGAGGGCATCAGACTCTACTATAGTTGGTTATGAGCCACCATGGGGGTGCTGGGAATTGAACCTGGGTCCTTTGGAAGAACACCCAGTGCTATTAAGGACTGAGCCATCTCTCCAGCCTCATAAAGGGTTTTTATTTCTACATTCACTGGGCTCCTTCAGAAGACTAAGAGAGTTGAGATCTAGGAGCGCTTCTCAGCACATAGTTTTCTCTCCAGAGGTCCCAAAGGAACCAGAAGGGAACCCCTGGTGACTCTCCCTGGCATGGGGTCCCCCTCCACATCTAAGACTGTCCAAGGGCTTTGTGTGAAGCTCAAGAGCAGAAATCTTGCCTAACACTGCAAGGCCCAGGCTTACTCCATCAATATATTAAAAAAAAAAAAAAAGACATAAGAATAAAAACCAAATTCCGTCCAAAGATTAAAGCTGTGGTTCCAAGTTTTAGTCACCATTCCATATCACCATCAGCCATGGATTCAATAATCTTCAAAACATCCCTTACTACACATCCACCCCTAGATCTCATCCCATTATTACTCATTCTTCAACCCTACTTCACCCCCACAAATCCGTATCTCACCCCAGGGCATTAAGAGAGGCTTTTCTGTGGTACCCTCCACCTCATGCAAGTAAAAGAGGAACTGATCTCAATAGAAACAATAAATGCAAAGCAACTTGAAATAATTTCTGCAGGAACAGGTATAGTAAAGTTCATTTAAATCCATTTAAGCTGCTATAACAAAATATCAGAGACTAGGTAGCTTATAGACGACAAATTATTTTCTCAGCTATGGAGGCAGAGAAGTCCCCACCTCAGTACTGACAGATTTGGTATCTAGCGAAAACCTATTTTCCTGGTCCCCGGATGGAGACTGTTCTGTGCTCCTCGAAGAAAGCGGCAGTTCCAGGGAGCTGGGGCACTGATCCCATGTAATTATCTTCAAAATGCCCCCACCTTCTAAGCCCACCACACTGAAGGCTAGGTTTGCAACTTCCAGCTGGAGAGGATGGGGATGGGGGAATGACTGAGATCCAGTATGCTCATGTGTGTCTCCTGTCATACAGGCCTGGAGCCGGGAAAGCTTTCTCTTTAGAACCCGAAGTGGATCACCCTGAATCTTTTACTCCAAATTCTGACTTCTCTAACGGTAGTCTGTTGAGAGCCTTACAGATGCTCTACAGCTTTTCAAATCTGTTGTGTGACACAAAAGTAGGATCCCTACAGTAGTAAGTTCTTTCGGGTAATTTCTCCACCCTCACACATTTCGGAGACAGGATTTCACTATGTAGCCCGCGACAGCCTGGGACTCACTATGCACCTATGGCTGTCCTCAGAGTCACTGTCTTCCAGCTTCCGCAGCTAGAGTGCCGAGATTACAGATGTGGGTCACCCCATCTGTCTCCTGACTATATTTCAAAGTCAGGCTGACTGGTAAATCCATCTATCTTGTGCACAGAAATCCTTACCATCTGTATGGTTTAGCTTTCTCTTTTGCAATTTTTCAAGTAAACTTGACATCCAGGAAGGGAAGGAGCAGACGTATTTCCCCCCACTGTGCAGTGGACGGCTAGAGGATCCGGTAACCAACTACCACCCGTGTTCTGATGACCTCGCGCACGCTCGCTCTCACCCTTCCGTACAACCCACACCCTTCGAAAACCTTTTCGCCCGTGCAGACACACTCGGCTCGCTGCAGCCCCTGTGGAGGAGACCTCTTAAACCTCCAGCGCCATCCCGGAAACCGGGTGGGTCCCCTCGAGCCAGCCGGCAGCCAGCGACCGACAAATAAAGGCCTTAAGGCCCCACACCCCGAAAGCCTAGACCCAGGGCCAGACTCACCTCAAAAGTATAAACTACGAACTATCAACCACGGGCTATGAACTCCGAGGACCGGCGAATACCAACCAGGGCAGCACCCGGTTAGGTCGGGTAGGGCACTGAGATGATCCGGAACAACCTCTCTCCAGCCACTTCCGCCATGTGTCTCAGCCTTTAGAGTGGACTACATTTCCCAGAAGGCCGTGCTGCTCTAGCCTCCCCAGGAGAGTGTCAATGCCCGAGAATGAAAGTAGAGAATGTTGGAATGAGAGAACGTACGGTTAGCCTTCTAAGGGGAAACTTCTCGTGGATCCGGGGCTGGAATCCTCTGATGCTTTTCAGATGTTTCATCTCTGAGGCGGGGTGGAAGATCTTTACTCCACAAACAGGAATGAGGCAAGGACCCGATCAAATAACCTCTCTCAGGACTACATTTCCCAGAGGCCATCGCAGTCTGAGGTCTCCTTGAAGATCTCAGCAGGCTCTTGATGTAGTATGTGAGCCCTTTAGAGCTTCCAAGTGTGGAGTTCCAGTCTGTGGGGTAACGGAACAAGGCCTTTAGCACTGGGCATGACTGGATGAAGCAAAGATCATTTGTCTCACAATCTACTTATCTTGATAGCCGCTAATTTAAATGTGCTGCTTTAGCCAGGTCTGGGCATGCATACCCAGCACTCATCAGACAGAGACAGGAGAATAAGGAGTTTTAGGGCCAGCTTCGGTAACATAGTGACTTTGAAACCAAGAACCTGTGTCCAGAAACGGATAATAGTGACTAAAGAGACTAAAGAGATGGCTCGGCACTTCTTAAGAGCACTTTCTGCTGTTCCAGAAGACCTGGGTTCGGTTCCAAGCGTTCATGTTGGGCCAATCATAAGCATTTGTGTTGGATGAAACTTTATGGAGGGTCACTGATATAACGAGGACTCAGTGTTGATCATGCTGGCCTCAAAACCTAAGATCCCCATGTCTCTGCCTCCTGTTTGCTGGGATTAAAATCGTGCATCACCACATCCAGCTAAGTTTTGGTGGGCTTTGGTGGTGTTGTTTGGTTTTGTTGTTACTGAGGCAGATTCTTACTAGGAAGCCTTGATTGGGGTTGCTGGCCCAGAGTGTGCTTGCTATGTAGATCATCTAACTCATGGAGATCCTCCTGCTTGAGCATCCCAAGAGCTGCAATTCAGGGCACACGCCACCATGCGCTCCTTACTTTCAGTTTGGGGGCACAAGATCTTGCCTGGAATTTACACCAGTTCTCTTGGCCTCCGAAGTGCTGGGATTACAGGTGGGAGCCACCACACCCGACAGTAATTCTTGAATATATAAATGTATGCTTTCCAATGGACTTGTAACAGTTTACCTATTTTTAACTTTTTCTATTGCTCTTCAAGGCAGGATCTGTAGCCCAGGTTGGCCTTGTTGTTGCCATCTTTCTACCTCAATATTTCTATTGGTTTCATTACAGGTGCGTGTCTAACATCTAAATTACATTTTGGAATGGGAGCTGTTCTATGAATATACTATCTAATCCATATCATATCTAAGAATAGTGACCTTTAAATGTTTTAACTACTGTACCTCTTTCTATTGGTCCTAGGAATCTAGTGAAATACTGAAATCACAATGGCAGGCACTTGTGTCTCATTCCTACAGTCCCAGGGAAATAAGAGTATTAGGGATTCTCTCAGCAGTAGAGCACTTGACCACCATGTATAAGACAGTAGTTTCAACCCCCAGTACCTCAAAAGACAAGAAGTGAGGCACGATGCCTTGCTCCTGTGACTGTAGTGTTTGGGAGGCAAGCTTAGGTAGCCTGAGCTAAAAAATAAGATTCCATTAAAAAAAAACTAGAAAAATTAAAATCTAAAGCCACCTCTGGGGACACTGGGGCAGCCATCCTGCCATTAAGAGTTAAGATCTAGTCCAGGGCACTGGTCCTTACAGCCAAATAGCTCACACAGCTGAGAGGAATCTCATTCACAAGACCTAGGCTACTGGCAGCCTGAAATCAGATTTTGCTCCTTAGATTTCTAGGCTTGCTGGACTTTCCTGGACCTCCCGGGACCCATGTGCACATCCTCTACTTAGACATATGCCCCAGACGGATTCACTGTGACCCTGCTTAGGGCAGATGCTGAGGCACGTGTGAATGAGTGAGTGTAGGGTGAAAAGGGCCAAGGAAAAAACACACTGCCCTCAGGACCAGGGCTTGGAATCCCACCAATCCCTGAGCTTGCGCCAGAATCAGGTTACAAAAAGCCACCAATCCCAAGCCACGCTGGAAAGTTCCGCCACCCCCCAAAGTTCTGCCACCCTGGAAAGTCCTGCCCCCCCCCAGCCCTATATAAGTTCTGTACCCTGTTCTGTTTTGTTTCTCACCCTAGAGGCAGCCAACCTCCTGGATTCTTCCTTCCCAATAATCCTCCTGAATGAGGCTTGTTGTGTGGGGTTACATTTTCCCTGTATCTGAGCCCAGCTGTAACAACTTTTGCCAGAGCAGAGCAGAACTGTAATACTTTCCCTGGGGAAACTTTCCCCTTGTGCAGCAGAGTTGTTCTGTTCTCGGGTACCTGAGCAGAGCTGTAACACCTCCCAGAGCAGAGCAGACTTGTTACATTTGCATTGGGGAATGCTTGCAGTGACTTTGGTATTGCTTGGCTCCCAACTGCCAGGATGCCTTTCCATCCAAGCTGCAGTGGTTACCGTGAGTATCTTTGAGGATTTAGGGGCTCTTGTTTGCTCTGCCTATAAACCTCCTTGGCCTCAGACCCTAGGGCTTGAACTACATTTCCCAGAGAACAATGGGTTTGAGCAATTTACAGTCATGGTCCGGTCGCCAGTCTCTCCCCCCAACCACACACACACACACACACACACACACACACTCATGCCCACCCCATGGCAATGATCCCCACGCTTCACAGAGTGAATTCAACTTTAGGTCAAAGGGGCTGTCAAGTAGGGAGCTAGACAAATGTTATGAAATTTGGAGTCCCTGACTTGGAGCTAGAGAGGATGGCAGTTGTTACCGGAATGTTGGGCCTATGGGTTCATGAAGGGCACAGGAGGATTTTGTGTGTCTGTGTCAGGTAGAGAATGTGTGGGAGTGTGTGTGCATGCACTATTCTTAGATATGATATGGATTAGATATTATATTCATAGAACATAGAACAGAGAAGAGGAAAGAAGAGAGGGAGAGAGAGGGGGCTGGGGCAGAGGGCTGTGACTGTGGAAGGGATATGTCTCCTGAATGTGAGGGAGGTGAGAAGCAGTGACCAGTGAGTGGCTGGCTGTGCATGGCATCATGGGAAATGAGATGAGTGTCTGTTATGTCTGCTTGGATCACTGTAGTTCTGTGTGTTGATGACCTACTTTGGGTTCCCTGTTGTTTTCTCTTCACAACTACTTGGGACTGACACCAAAAGGTCTATGAGAGGGAAGTCACAAGCTGGTCCCTAGATGAAGTTTTTCAACAAGAAGACACTGCCTTGCGTTGTGGAACGTCGCTTTAGCTAGGTAAAACTGTTGCATTTGTTTAATGATGTAAAGAGGTGTTGTCTGTCTAAGGCACCTGACTGGTCTAACAAAGAGTTGAATAGCCAATATCTAGGCAGTCGAAGGCTAGGTGGAGCTAGCAGGCAGAGAGAATAAATAGGAAGAGAATAAAAGAAAGAGAGGAAGACGCCAAGAGAGGCCAGCCACCCAGATAGACAGGCAGACAGACAGACATGGAAGAAGCAGGAAGGCAATACATACAGAAAGAAAGGTAAAAAAGACCCGAGGCACAAAGTAGATGAAGGGAAATGAGTTAATTTAGGCTGAGGAAATGGGCTGGGGGCAGGTCTGAGCTATGGCTGAGCATCATTTGTAACTAAGAATAAGTTTCCAGGTCTTACTTTGGGAGCTGGGTGGTGGCCCAAAGAGAAGTCCAGCTACAGCCTTGTTAAGAGTGGGAGGTGTGAGACTTTTTGTTGTTGTTTTGGTTTTTGAAGTCAAGGACCAGCCAGTTCGTGTCTCAGAATCTGCTCTGTAAACTTGAACACAATGGCCTTCCACTCGGCTTTTTTGTTCGCTGAAGTCAGGTGGTTTGCAGAAGCAATATGCATTATTAGCAGATGTCTGCGATTCCCAGGTGGTGGTACAGTAGTGCGCCTACAACTTGCTATAAGCACCTGAAGCCAATTTGTTTTTCCTTTGCTTTTTATTGTTGAGACAAGATCTCACTCTGTACCAGTCAGGCCTCAGACTCTCTACACATTAGACCGGAGGTTCTCAACCTGCCTAATGCTGCAACTCTTTAATACATTTCCTCATGTCATGGTGACCCCACACAACTGTAAAATTATAAACTGTAACTTCGCTATTGTTATGAATCATAATGTTATACCTGTGTTTTCTGATAGTCTTAAGCAATTTCTGTGAAAGGATCACCCTGCCCCCCCCAAAAGGGTTTTGACCCACAGGTTGAGAACTGCTGCTTTTGGCTCTCAAGTGTTACAGATACAGGTATGAACCACTATATCCCACCCTTAAATTCAGTAATTATTTAGATTATAAGAATGCAGGCCCTGTACTACATAAAGAATTTGAAGGCACCATGGGACCCTATATAAATCACAGTGACAGATCTTTACACATTGTAAAGGAAGGTTCCACGACAATTTCTTGGGAGCAAATCAATATTAAAATGAATACTGTGAGAGAAAATAGTGAAAAGTTAATAAAAATGTTAGATGATCTATTTAACATAAAAAGGCAACAAAGGAGAAAAAAAAGCAAACATACCAGACATGCAAAATAAATCAAAAATGGAAACTGTAAATTACACAGCAGAAGAAATTATATTAATGGGTTCTAGCTTCTAAATTTACATATGTAAATGTAGAATCAATGATGTAGATGCCAAAAAACTAGAAGGGGCGCTCATGTGTAAGTGTGTGTGTGGGGGGGGGGGATGAGGTTTTAAGGGTGGCGAGTGGGAATGTAAATACTTCTGATAGGAAAACGAAGGGGAATTCTGGGAGCTGAGGGATACAAGTAGGGCTCCGCAAGATGGGGTACATTAACCCAATGCTTCCATAAGGAAACCCATCACTTGGTACGGTAAATCTAAAATAAAATAAGAAAGAGCCCGGGCATAGTGGTGCATGCCTTTAGTTCAAGCACTGGGGAGTCAAGAGGCAGGTGAATTGCTGTGAGTTCCAGAAAAAGCGCT